GCTGTTTACTGTTGCATTCATCGGTGGTTTGCAAACTTTCGGCGTCCGACGTTCAAAATGACAAATTGTGCAAATGAAATGCTTCGACGGCGAGATATTTCTTTTATATTTTTCTGTGGGGGGAATAATCCGCACGTTTTCCTACCTTTCATTTGAGAATTAATTTAGATGCCAATTATAATGCACAAGCGATAGCGGCCTTGTCAGCGGCGTGTAGTCTCTCGTTAGGCCTTGTAAGGCGCTGACTGCTAAAGTGACCTCGTATTAAGTCTAGGAAATATTCCTGACAATGATCCTAAACGTGTGACTGCGCGGGTATATTCCTTTAATAGTAATTAATTATGATCATAAATCGTATCTCAACCCCGTTTGAGAAAAGGCCGTTTTCCTTTGGGCCCGTGACACGATCCCCCAAACGAATAGATTACAGATGGGGGGTGGTGTTCACACTTTCACCCATGTTTGGCTAGGCCCGGTTAATTGTGTCTGTCCGTGTCGGCCTTGAGGTTTGTTTGATTGCAGTCAGAAAGACGGGTGTTGTCCAGCTAGTTAAAGGCCGTGGGTATAAAAATATTTAAAAAAAACGACCAATCTAACAGCAAAGAGTAATCATTGCCAGTCGAACAAGTTATGAATTGTACAACAAAATAACCTTGTTAGTTTCGTGTGTCACTTTCTGCACAATATTAGGCCTGCTGCCCGACCGAGGCCTGTTCAAAGTAAGGCGTGCTTGGCGTTCGGTATCTTCTACCCGGGGTTACTCGTAAGGGGTCGTGGCGAGTTGTTGTTTTTTTGTCGTCAGTGGGTTAAGACACCGACGTGTGTAACATTTTAGGCATGTTTTCAAGAAACATTCGTGAGCTTTTAATTCCGTTGCATGGGTGAGCAGAGTGATTTCACCGTTGGGGCCCCTAAAGCCAGGCCCGCACCCTCCAGTTGTTTCGGGGACGGTCGCTCTTTGGATAATAGCGCCTGTTAAATAAAATATACAATTATGTACCCTAAACGGACCAATTCGGAGATGTGCTAAATGTGCGCGCACGTAAGCAGGCCAACTAATCGGCCAGCATCAGAAACTCGTGCGTCTGCAGCGTGACAGCGGCGCGAGCGTCGGCTGTCCTGCGCGTGCAAGTAGCGAGAGGCTTTGACCGCTTGGCTCGGGCACCTCCGCCACTGATGGGGGAGGAATGCACGCGCGTGTAACTTCCCCTGTATCAAACGATGTAGGAAAGCACATACGGGCAACAGGAACTGACGATGATTGAAATAGCAAAGTCTGTCCTCCACTAACACACTTTATCTCCCTTTCTCGTGGCGGAGGGGGGGGGGTTGATCATCACAGTTGGTGAGGTCTGCTTCGCTGCAGCCACAGCATCGCTTTCCTCCGCCGAAGAAACTCTGCAGTGCTGTAAGGCAAGGCAGCGGCCGATAGATTTCAATCGCTGCGAGTCTCTTGTACTAATTGAGAAACACGCAGGGAGATTTTTGCTAGACAGAATAAAGACAAACGTGCTCCGTGTCCGTGTGCAGCTTTATTAAAGGGACATTGTGTTGCCTGTGTTAGCCGGTCTGTGTCGTAGTCAGAGCAAACGTTTAATGTTGCGGAGTATTCGGAGGTACCTGTCTAGAGACGTTCACATTAACAGGATAAAGTTGTAGTCGCGAGAGCTTGACAATGGTGAAGCCACCGCGTTGAATTCTGGGATATGCATGTCGTGGAGCAGGGTGGTTTTCCGCGAATGTTGCCTTGTTTCTTTGGATATTTCAGTTATGTGTGAATGAGCGCGTTTCGTGCTGGGCTTGGTGTTTCCGTCGGGCGCTAATGTGGCACGGAGCATTGCCGTGGAGGGGCTGTATGTGTCGGTCATACATCTGGGTCTGGCGGCGAATTTGTGGGTATCGCTTCTCGGCCTTTTGGCTAAGATCAAGTGTAGTATCTGTTCTTATCAGTTTAATATCTGATACGTCCCCTATCTGGGGACCATATATTAAATTGATTTTTGGAACAGGGAGATGGAATAGGGGCTTGCTCCGTCCACTCCACGCATCGACCTGGTATTGCAGTATCTCCAGGAACGGTGCACCCCCTATCGGGGAAAGTTGTTGTGGAAGAGTAGATGTGGCGGGTTACAGTTTCTGTAAGCAGCGATCCATTCATTTCTAGTGGCTGTTGCTTTATGAATTTGGTTTGATTTTTCTAGTACTGCCAATTTCACCATGTATTTCAGCTGTGTACGAGTGTGGCGTTTGCTTCACGTGTGTCGAATTTGCCACGTCTTCCCGTCCCCCTTGCGAGAGCGTAACAAATTTTAAGAAACAATGTTATAATATTAGAATAGGTATGTCTTGGAGCAGAGTGTTTTTTCGCAGAGGCCGGTGTGTGTGTGTTTGTATATTTTAGCTGTGTGTCAGAGCCTAGTGGCGCTGACGGTTTCCGTGTTACAGGGCATTCTTATGAATGGAACATTTTTTTGTAGAATGTACATCTGGGTGTGGGCAAGGGCCGCCGCGATTAGGTGACGTGGTCGGGGACGTTGACAACGCCGTGTGCGCGCATGCGCGTTTGGCTTGTTGGGACCAGTGTGATCGTAAATTGAAAACCACGAATATATTTTTTAAATATTAAATTGTAATTAAAATATTTTCATTTTTATTACACACTGAATTGCAGACTTTTAAAATTAACAGAAAGTAAGAGCAACAGGCATATTTTACCCTGTTGTTGAACCTTGAGTTTTGCTCCTTTTGAGTTTTGCCTTTTTGTTCGTGTCAGTCCTTACGTGCTCCTCGCCTTCCATCGATGTCCAAATACCATGTGGTTTTTGCAGAGACAGCTTAACCGCACTCATGCATATTTGGCTCCTTGATAGCGGTATTCTTGTGATGTACTCTTTGCCTCGCTAGTACGCTATTGTGGCAACCGTTTCTGCTAAACGTATTCTATGGGTGAAATGTGACAAATAGTCATTCTCCTCTGCATTTTGCGTTACATATATACAATGCAATACCTTTGTCATTGCACAAGTAGCACTTTTACTGCGCAGGTACAACGAGTTTGCCGCTTCTATTATTGTCGATGCTAATATTGATAATAAATTAAACGTTGAACGCAAAGATAAAAATGGCAGTAAGTAGCAAATGAAAGCAGCATCGGCACCAGTACAGTACCAACAGTCTTGTATTACAGTTTATAATACAATTTGAAGCCGATGTTGGTTATACTAAGATGAATCTCCCACCACATAACTTTATGCTTATGGTACCTCTGGACAGTTGTCTGTGTGATTGGTCGGTTTTTCAAATTATGAACCACGTGGCATTCTGGGAATTCTGAAAAGCATGACAGCTCGCAAAATGAAAACGAAACGCTTGCCATGGCAGCAGTGAGAGCAAAGCAACAGCCGTTTTGTTAAATCTTGATCAGAATGGCTGTAGGCTTAGAGCTGGCCGTGTGAAAGGATAACCGTAAACTGAACATTTTTGCTGTGGAGTGGCGCGCCATCTCGAGGCAGAAGCAACTCATACTTACCTGGCAGGGGAGATACCATGATCAAGAAGGTGGTTCACCCAGGGCGAGGCTCAGCCATTGCACTCCGGTTGTGCTGACCCCTGCGAATTCCCCAAATGTGGGAATCTCGACTGCATAATTTCTGGTAGTGGGGGACTGCGTCCGCGCTCTCCCCTGATTTATGGTATAACGAAAGAACACGCTGCTGATCAGTCTGCGTATTCTCCATCTCGCCGCTAGGTGCTTTTACACAATGGTGTATATGTATTGTACTTGCTGTGCCGTAACTGCAACGATTTGATTGCTATGTTGGTCAAGTCAAAGCAATTCCTCACACTCTACAGCTTTTGGCCGTGGATCCTGCTTCAGTGAGAGAACCTTCCACCACTTAGTCTGTTTACTGTATATTGCAAGGGAATATTACAATGACATTTTGCATTCTTCAGGATAGCATTGCGTGCTATATCCATTCATCTGCCGTATCAGTTGCAATTTCCCATACTGTATATATTTTTAATGTACTACATTACCATAGTATAGCTGAAATTATAGGTTGTCATGGCTAATAAATATGTATGTCATTGGTTTTATGCCTGAAATTGAAAATGTAATGACAGCTACCACCACTGTTATTTGGAACCAAGAAGAGTCTACAGCTATATACATGTATGCCGTATATTTGCTGATATACTCCCACAACCCTTAATGATTGTCACTGACGATTGCAGTTTTCAGTGACAGCTCTAGTCTGGATGTTAGTTTCTGGGTTTCACTTTTCAGCCTTTTGGCTAAAGCTACATGTAGCAGCCTCGTTAGCGCAGTAGGTAGCGCGTCAGTCTCATAATCTGAAGGTCGTGAGTTCGATCCTCACACGGGGCAAGCTGATATGCCTTTTGGTTTTTTATTTTTGAGTTAATTTTATTTTTAAATAGTAATGTCAAACACTGATACTGTCTTAAAATTTTTAGTGTTTTATATTTTTATGTTTGTGATGGTAATTTTGTATACCGTATTTTCCGCACTATAACGCGCACTGCATTATAAGGCGCGCCGTCAGTCAGTGGTCTATTTTCAAACTTTTTCCACATACAAGGCGCACCGGACTTTAAGGCGCTTTAAGCAAAACAAAACAGTCAGATAAGCCAGTCAACCAAAGTTTATTTTACATCACGTGTTCACAATGACTGTCAACATTGTTCAAACGTTTATGAGCGTCTTCACTACTCTTTAACACGTAAAAAAACAAATGTCTTGTATCGCTAAATCAAAAGTCAGCCTATTAACAATAACTCAAAATTGAACACTTATAATACGGTCCTATACCACTAAATCAAAAGTCAGCGTATTCATAATAACTCTACACAATACACTCACTTTTCAATACTAAAACATTAAAATCGCTTCGAGTTCAGTATGCACAACAGAAATTAATCCACGTTTAAAGCGCATTTTTTAAGAAAATCAAAGGCTTTTTAGTGCGGAAAATACGGTAATATGTTTTCACTCGTTGTGCAGAACTTGTTGAATAAAGACTGGGGAGAAAATCTGCTCTTATCAGTTTGTTTGATACGTCCCCTATTTGGGGACCATATAATGATTTTTGGAACAGGGAGATGGAATAGGGGCTTGCTCCGTCCACTCCATACATTCACCTGGTATTGCAGTACCTCTAGCAACAGTGCGCCCCCTATTGGGGAAAGTTGTTTTTGAAGAGCAGATTTAGGGGGACGAGCTTTCTGTGACCTGACACCTATTCACTACTACTGGCTGTTTTTCTGCGAGTTCGGTTTAATTCTTGCAGTGGCATTAACTTTGACATATGTGTGTATGAGTGCTGTTTTTGCTTCATGCGCTCTGAATATGTGACATTTCCCTGTTCCAAGAGACTTCGCAATTGGTGTGAAACGGCCAGTGGGATTTATTGTCCTTGCTGAATGTCGTTCCTCTCTGCTGCTTTCTAAGATCCATGTCCTTATTACCAGCAGCTCGCAAACAATGGTTTGATAAGTTTATGTGGAATCTAGTTGTATACTTGAGATGCGCCATACATTTATATTTTGGTAGTCTGCGTGGCTCATTTTTCATTCATTCTTGCCGTTGGGGAGGAGAGGCAGACTCGCCGCATGTAAGAGCTGCTTGTCTTTTGCTTAGTTTCGTGAAGTTTACTGAAGGGTTGCGATTTTTCGTTGGTTTTAATAGAATTATACGCAATTCTACAATTCAGCCACAAGATGTCAGCAGTGACCCTAGTAATCTTATAGGCGAAAAGGGCCTTCAGCAGAACATAGACTAGTGCAGTCAAATCAGCATCAGGGCCTGTTAGTGCTGCCGGAATCCAGCGGCAGTCTCCAACCTATGGAGGGAAACCTTAGTTCCCTTGAATCGTTGTTATTTGGTGTCTCCAGTCTGTGCCCCCAGCCTTGGGTGTGAGGTTTTTGCCCCTCCCACGGTGAGTGAACTTGAAATTAAAAAAAAATAATAATAAAAAAAAACTTTTCTAGTGATACATGGGATTCATAGTGGGGAAGTAATGATTCTGAAAGTCAGTGGGACTGAAAATTCTGATATTTGCTAATTAGGCTCCCTCTCAGATACTTGTGTATTCCTAGGAGATCAGGTAGCATGCTGTCTTTTTTGTCCAAACCATTGTTATTGCAGCAGTGTTGAACAGGATTTGCTGAGACAGCAGCTCCCTCTGTCGGTCCGACTGGTACATCAACCCCAAATCCATCTAACAGGCCATTCAGGGAGAACACAGCAAGTGAAGAGTGAATTAGGTCCATTGACTGCCAAGGAACGGGGATATTCAAGTCACTTTCTCTACTGTGCTTTAAGAGGCAGAGTAGATCTACTTTGTGTGTGAAAGTGCTTTTGGGGTTGAGTACTGGCACATTGTGTTAATATGTTAGCGGTGCCATTGCTTGGCTTTGAGCCTCAGTGGATGAGTTTTGCTGCTAAGGCGTGTGGCTCAGCGGGTTCGGACTCTTAATCACAAGGCTGCCAGGTTAAATCCTGTGGTTGACACAATGGTTTCCCTCTTTAGCCCCTGAGAAAGGCCCTTAAGATTCAAGATTTTTTATTGTTCACACAGTGTGGTGTTTATTTTCCCCGAACTTTGAGGCTCATCTCTTCTGTTTACTATAAGTGACAAAGAGCCAGCTGGGTGTGTGGAGTCTTGATGGCATTTGTGTAGATTTAATTACCTTTTTTTTAGCATTTGGACATCCTCTGCGCAGCAGCAATGATGCTGTACAAATGTTTGTATATAGCCCCAGACTCCAGGTTCCAAATACAGGGCTACAGACTATTTTTTCCCACTAATAGCACTAGTGATCCTAACTGAAACTTAAAAGCACTACCAAAAAAAAAGGTGCACTACTTAACTACCTGGAGACAGGGCATCATGAGTGATGTAGTTAAAGTGTCTGTTTATGACTGGTCAATCTTTATAGAATCATGAAAAACGATGACCAAATGCATAATAATTTTTCAAAACTCCTATTGCCAGATTCACTTTTTTGCCGATTTAACTTTATTGTAAAAGCTGTCACGTTACTTAGTTTTACCTGAATCGTGGGCATGAAGTACTGCCCTCACCTTGAGGATCTGTATTCACGTCGTACGTGTACATCTATGGTAATACAGTACATGGTAATTATCCTCGTTGTTTCTGCGAGTGTGACGCAATGCAGATTTATCTCCATGGTGTCACCACAATAAAACGTGATCCTGGTGGAAACTCAATCTAACACATTCCACTCTGGACAGGAACAGAAGGCACCACAGGCTTTTTGGAAATTGGCTTGGTCCAGCTGTAGATGACCTCAGTGCTTTTTTTAACCGTAATTATGTGTGTAAAGTTGAGAATTTTACTGTACATGTGCTTATCATAATTATATTTTGCTCATTCTGTGGTTGGTTACAGATTCACTAATATAGTCTAAATAAAATCAAAATCTACTACTGAAATCGTATTCTATAAATCATAATTTAGCATCATTGTAATTAAACATCACAAAAATATGTATAGACGAAAACTGACCTGTACCCCACCTTGGAACATCGGTCAAACAGGATGACGCTGGTTCAAGGTGTGTAAAAGTGACTCCTTCCGAAATTTAACACCTTGAAAAGCAGTATTTTTAATTTTTTTTTGATCCACATTCTTTCTTAGTGCAGTATGTGTGTTTGTGGTTTTGTGAGATTGTACTATTGCATTCATTTTTGCATACAAAAACTTATTGTAACCTTAGCATATTTATATCTATTTATTATAAATCTTCTTCCATACAATGTATCACTGTACAGCAGATGAGAAAAAGATGACCTTCCCCAAACCCCCAAGACAACTGCTGGACCAATCCACTGCCCCGGCCTTTGCAGAAAGATGCCTCTGTGCCGATGGGATTCCAGCACCGTCCCACCAGCAGTGCCTGGGGACATTGGTTGCAACACTTGTGTAGTGAATATAAATTATTTAAATTACTATTACTTTGCATTGTTGATTACATATGACTCATAGTAAAAAGAAAAAAAGATTTTTCACCCAGCAATTGAGCAGCACTAACACAAATCGCTAATTGCTGGATGACTCTGCTTTTTTAAGAGTAATAAATTTGAAATAAGAATGATTAGTAATTATGTACCTCAGACGTATTTACAAAATGTGGAATTATTTGGCTAGGTACACTAAAAATCTTTCTTTGATTTTTAAGGGCTGGGCAAGTCCAAGGAGCTCAGAAGTCTGAGGCATCCTCATCCACCAAGTTTCCCTCCTCCATCCAGTCCTCCTCCACCTCACAGCTGCCCTTCATCAAAGCACTGTCTCACACCAAGGCGTCCTCCTCCAAGGCAACCTGCACTACCCAGTCACTGTCCTCCTCCCATACCTCCTCCCCCACCCAGCTGACTCCTCTCAGGCACCCACCTACAGATCTTCACCCAGCAAGGAGCCTCTGCCCTCAGTGAAGCTGAAGGAGTCCACAGCCCTAAAGAGCCTTTGTCCACTGTCTGCACCTTTTCTGTCAAATCATTTCCCAAGCAATATTCTTGTATGTAAACAGATTGTACATAGTAATGAAACTATGTATTACTATGTAGTAATGTGCTGTGTGTACACAACTACACATACATAACCATTTGCATAAATATGTATTTAAGTATAATATTCCAGCAGGCAGATCAGCCCGTGCCCTTGATTTTATATGGGGATCGGGGGTGTCGCCGGGCACAGGGACCGACCAGCTCTTGGGTGGACAGTGGAATGGTGGTGCGGTTGGACATATTTCACTGGAGACATCGGTTTGATGCAGCCGTCCATACTGACAGCCATTCCAAATACACCACTTTCAAGTCTGCACTCGCTGGAGGAGTCCTGGCCTACAATCGAGAAGATCTGGAGCTCCTCATCAAAGCTGTCAGGGCACAGAATTCTGTGATGTTTGCATCCCTTTCAGACGAAGGTGTTGTTCGCCTCCATGTGTCCCGGGCGCAGCTCAAGCCCCATGTGCGGAGAGTTACACTCGGGGTGCAGGAGTCATTCCACCTGATCCAGACAGCCATCGATGAGCTGAAAGGCCCCCAGTGGGCTGGATGAAAATGGAGTCAGCCTCTTCAAATCACCTGGTACAAACATACATGTGTATAACAGTAGTAGCCTGTACACAATTTTTTGTGCACTGTTGGTGCTCGTACGCTACTGTCAGTGTCATACACTGTTTATCGTGGTTAATTTACAGGAGCCGTAGATGAGGTGTGGCCGTCCCATCAGGGACACGATGGAGGGCATACAGGACCCTCCAGGAACGAGCATGTATAAAGGGGCTCGCTCTACCACCATCAGTGGTGTAGACGTTCCATTTCGTGGTTTCATGTTCCTTCGTGGTAGCAACAGCCTGGAGAGTTTCCACAAAGTACTGCCCAACATGATTCCAGGTAAGATGTATTATAATTATATGTCACGAATAAATTTGACAATTCAGCCACTTAAACACCACCTCCTTTCCTATGATGTCATGAAGCTGCCAGTTGAGACAGCTTTTTCAAACCAGTTAGTTTTCTCTCCATTTCAGTGCATCTTGTCATCTCAGGTCCCCTCTGTGCCACACGGCCCTTTCAGGTCTACCTGATTAGCAGTATCGCCCGCTGGAACTCGGACAGGTCGTCAGATGCCGTTTATGGTGGCAAAGGTTGGCATCACTTGGCAAAGGTCGGCACCACTGATTGCCAGGTTGAACGCCTGCAGCCAGCAACTGTTTGGGGAGACTGTGGAGAAGAACTTCTGTGCCCCTGCTGCTGTGACATCGAATGAGCTGCTTGCGCTGGAGTACCTCTTCAGTCAGAGCACAGGGGAATCGGGTCTGTTCACGTTCAAAGACCTGTCAAGTGACGGACTTGCTGAAGAGGTGATTGAGGTTGGCCAGCTTGACCCGGGTGAGGAAGACTAGGCTTACGAGACTCACCAGCAGTGAGACCAGCGAAACCAACCCTCCTGCTTTTGTCTCAATTGTTTCAGGATTATGTATGTATGGTTAATTTTCATGCAGTCACTTCAGCTGCACAAGTTAAATTATTACATTCTATTTTTTAACAGGAGAATGTCTGTCTTCTTGTCTCCTGCCTGGATACAGGCAGCTGGAAACCTGCTCTCTGCTGGTAGACATTGGTCTGACTGAGCACCACTTAACACTGACCTCAGAACAGAGGAGCAGTTTGACGCCTGGAATGCCATGGAGGAACACAAGCAGCCCCAGAGGGTTAACCAGCTGTACAAAACGCACTGGGGAAACAGTCTGTACTGCTGCACCAAGCGGGGTGATCTTGTTGAGGCTGGCATGATTCAGCGAGTTAAGATGGAGAAACGCTACATGCCAGCTCAACAAGACATCAGTGCGCAGAACAACTGGCTAATGTACAAGCTGGTTAAACTGCTTTGGTTGAGGCTATCTGGAAATTGACAGTCCAGCCCTGGGAAAAAAAAACAAATCGTAAAAGCTTACGAGAAGATTCAGCACAGGGTTTTGGTGAAGGATCCGGTGCTGAGCAAAATGGGCATCCCTTTGCCAAAAATGAACACGAAAGACGGTGTGTGACTTTAACCGCCAGCAAGAGTGACAGAATTCAGTCAACCAAGATGCCTCTGAGCATTTCAAGCATAACATCAGTATCGTCGACACCTTCCTCCAGCACCAAGCCAACCACCAGTTCTCCCTCCCGAATTATACTGAAGTTGAGTACAGCTCGATGCACAGCAAAGCAGGGACCAAGGCGTTGAGAGATGTTTTCATGCCTACAAAAAAGATGGCACTCATGTCTCATGAGGTCTTCTTCTGCAACAGGGAAGAAAATGCCAGCCACCTCCAGCATCATCAAACCCACATCGGCAGTCAGATCGACAAGCACTATGCCAACATTAATGCCCGCCAGCCAGACAGACACCACACAGCTGGAATGCTCCTACTCAAGAGCCACAGACTACAAAAGAAAGCATGCCGGTCAACTAATGGATGCTGGTGCGAAACTGTCACAAGTTCAAAACTTACCCATCTGCTCACTTTGCCTCCAGCCCCCTCAGGGCCACAAAAAGATTTTTTATTTATTTTTTGTCCAGTGAAAATGATCAAAGGTCCACATCAAAGGAATCTGAGAAAACAATTTCCACCAGTTATGAGCACTTCACTACAGCAGTAGACATCCATCCCTTTGACACACTCCTCCCCTCTCAGAGAATACCTGCACACTCCTCCCCTCTCAGAGAATACCTGCACACTCCTCCCCTCTCAGAGAATACCTGCACACTCCTCCCCTTCAGAGAATACCTGCACACTCCAACACGCCACAGCAAGACGGCTCCGGAGAAAGAGGTCGGATGTTGGCACAGCAATAACAAATCCTGGGGATGCTGGAGGGTAAAACCTCATCCTGTCTGATTTCATGACCCGTCGCCTCCTGAAAGCGCCCTTGCTGTCCCTGTATGTTTGGACTGAGGTGAACAGCCCTCTCTCTGTGTCGTTCTTCAGCCAGGAGAGGTCAGCTGCCTGGACGCCACCGAGATTTTCCAAAAGACACAACCAACCCTCCAGCCCAACCTGGGACATATCAAAACAATATTATACTTAAATACATATTTATGCAGAGTTAGGCATGTATAGTTATACAAGTACACACAGCACATTACCACATAGTGATGCACATTCTCTTTACCATCTGTTTGCATATATATGAATTTCGCTTACAGGGGATTTGCTTTGAGATGACTCCACAGAAGAGGTGCTGTCAGTGGACAAAGACCTCTTTGGCATGACTGAGGTGCAGGGCAGGGGTTCCTTGATGGTGAAGATCTATAGGTGGTTACCTGAGACGAGTAAGAGCTGTGGGGTGGAGCAGGTTGCTTTCGAGGAGGATGCCTTGGTGTGAGAGAGCACTTTGGTGACGGGCAGCTGTGAGGTGGAGGAGGACTGGGCACTGGAAGAGGCCTGGATGGAGAAGGGAACCTTGGTGGAGGAGGATGCCTGTGGGGTAGAGGATGCCTGGACAGTGGAAGACACCTGGCAGGAGGATGCCTCAGGCTTGGGCTTCTTTGACCTGCCCAGTTCTTAAAATCACAAAGAAAGATTTTCAGTGTACCTAGCCAAATAATTTCACAATTTGAAAAATATGTCTGAGGTAGACATTCACCAATCATTACATATCTGCCTACAATTACCCTCCAAATTCATCACTGCCGAAAAAGCAGAGTCATCCAGCCATGTGGGGTCTTGGCTACTGGAGCTCAATTCCTGGGTAAAAAATTTGAACAACTTACATTTACTACGCATGTGCTGCAACTTACCTGGTCCTTCCTGTCGTTTTTCCTGAATCATTGTCGCGCTTGTTATATGAGTAACAGGTGCATGTAACCACCTGCTCACCGAACCGTAGGCCTTCCGGATGAGCTCCCTCCGGTCACTGCTGAAACACTCTGGCCTGTCCTTCTGGACTGAGTGCTGTTGGTAGAGCTCCCACATCTCCTGAAAGCTATGGTCTTCAAAGCCTTTCTGACCGTATGCACATTGATCGATGTTTGCTTCCAAGAGAACTGAGACTTGCAGGAAGCTCTCTGCATACTCTGCCAGATAGTCTTTAATCCAGTGGTTCTGGATTGCTACCATTCTACAAGGGTTTGCCACCTTTTCTCTGTGCTTGTCAATGACGCTGCAGTTATAATTATTAGCAAGAAACCTCTGGAAAAGATTAGCATGAAATACACAAGTAACATCTATAATCTTAGTATAAATATATCTAGAGAAAAACTGCTTTTAGCAGCTAAAAAAAAATTACACTTAAGCGTAAATGAATATAAAGATGAATGCCTATGAACAATGCAATTGCAGATATCTACATTTATATTGTGGATATCTGTTGACGAGTAGATAGGATGCCGTTGTGACTAGGAGAAATAAAGTTTTAGATATCTTGAAATACATTTTCTACTAGTAGGAATGTAATTGTGGATATCCAAAATACATTTGGCGATCCCCAAAGGGAGAATCTGATAAGATGAAGAGGAGCTACACCTCATTCCTGCAAGTTATCTACAACAGACGTAAAGTGTTCATAGCTAGCTTACACTCTATTGCTCAGACCTTTAGATGGAGACATTTTTACCAGGCAGAAACTTTTCTTTTGTACTTTTTGTGTCCCTGGGTTGGTTGGCTGTAGTTTACAAATGAAGATTTTGTATCTGTGACAGTTTGTATACATTTTATTCTGTGCATCCCATTTATACTATTTAATCATTAGCGCTAAACAGGTTCTGGTGTTATAACAACTATTATTTTGTGCTTTACTGGTATTTTAAATGTAATCCGGTTATTACTGGATGACCTAGGTAGCTTAACCGGTTTATTCATACGCCGATCTCAGTCGGATTCTTGCGTTTACATGGCATTTGAGTTACTGGCCATACACCGATCATAAACTTAATTGTATTCCGTTTACACTTACCGCAGGTAAATCTAAAAATCCACAGGAAGAAGTTTGCCGTGCAGAAACTCTTTACTTTCTTCAGTCAGCAGGAAACGAAGCTCATGCAGAAAAGTTGCTCAGTAAATGAAATTATTGTACGACCTCTCAATCATATTAGCAGCGATCAAATTCCGAGGGGAATGTCACATCCAATCAAATTAGTGGGTGGGAGCTAGAGAATGCTGCATGCCTAATAGGTAGTCTACTGTCAAATTCTGCCAGACGATTGGCCATCTACAGTCAGCTAAGCCAATCAGATAGCCGAATTGTCTACAGTCCGTCTACAGTGACTGTAGACTTGAGGAGGGGAATGAAGTGCAAATCATGATGTAGACTGAGACAAAAACTGGACTGGGTGGCTTGAAGACTTGTATGGCTTGGTGCAGGGGTGGCCAATCTTATCCGCAAAAGGCCAGTATGTGTGCAGGTTTTTGCTGCAACTCCCTAATTAGATCACTAATTAGGGGGCTGATTGGCTGAACAGTCCTCACACCTGGGTTTGAACAGCTGACCTACAGGTAATCCCAAAAACCTGCATACACACCGGCCCTTTGCGGATAAGATTGGCCACACCTGGCTTGGTGGTAGGGGGAGAAGAAGACTGGGGAGGATGGTGGGGGGATGAGGGGCTCTTTTTTTTAAGCAGTCTTATTCCTGCCAAAGATGGTGTGACCTCATACTCCACCTGAGGCTGACTGGTGTGAGGTCTTTCCTCTGGCAGTTCTGGTGCTGGTGCTGAGGTTTGGGTGCTGTCAGTGATGCTCTGATGGCGATGGAGGACAGTCAAACCTTGGTCTGTGACATTTCTGGCAGACAAGGCCTCGTCTGCGGATGAATTCAGAGACACACTTGGAGTTGATTTTGAGGATTGGAATGCCAAGCTTGCTGAGCTCAGCGTCGTCCACGGTCACTCTCTGCTGCACTCGCTGGTACATCTTTATCACCTGATGTTTCTGTGGTGAGCCTCGAGCCTTGCCTCCACAGTCGGGATGCAGCCAGAGCTGTTTGATGAGGCAGTACATCAGCCTGTTTTTTCTGGAAAAAATGTGCAGCCGAATACCGTTTGCTGAACTTCAGCTTCTGTACCAACGACGATTCTGCTGGGTCTCCGCTGGTGCGGCTGAAGAGAGCGTTTCCCCAGCCTGCAGAGTACAGGGAGTCAAACTGCTGAATGTTTCGATCGTGAAGCTCCAGCTTGCTCCAAGCAAGACTTTCTGCCTCATGGAGTTGCTGATGGCAAGTGTTCCCTCTTCCAAGGCAATGTCAACCAAAATTTTGCTCAGCTCCTCAACATGCTCGTACCCAGGCAGATGATTTGGTCCGCACACATCTTCCACGCAGGGGTCGAGCTCAGCAGCCACGGCCTGGTCAGTGAGGGAGATGTGCTTCCTCAGTGGAGTTAGTGTCACCCTCACCTTCAGAGGTGTAGCCCGCATCCATCTCCTCATCCACCTCTGCATCCACTGTGGATTCCTCAGCAGGGACATCATCCCCTTCTTCCTGCAGTGTCTCTCGGGCCTGTGAGTAGTGGTCAGGAGCGCTGAACGGTTCAGCTGACTGAGCAAACGGGTATTCCAGCCCAATTCGTTCATCACCAGCCGGAACAGGAGGCCTGTAGTTGGCTTCTTCGACCTCCCCAAACAGTTCCTGACACCGCTGATTCAGGCGATGAACAAGAGGAGACTGGTAAACCATGTGCTTCCTCCCCTTTTGTCCTCTGACGTTCGCCGACTCCCTGCCAGAGTTCCAGCGAGCGATGCCGGCCAGGAGGTACACTTGAAAAGGTACAGCAGCACAGTGAGGGCCCGGAATCATGCTGGGCAGGAAGGAGTGAAAGCCCTCCAGACTGTTGCTCCCTCTCACTGTGATGTAGTATGGGAGACACCGTTGCGGGTAACATACTTTTTGATTGAGTACATATTCCGCCCCGGTGGATCCTGGATGCACTCCAGATGCTTCTTCTGGTTCTCCCATACATGGTTGATTGCTGCCTCATCCTTAAAGAGATGGACTTGATTTTCATCCATCCCAGCGGCACCCTTCAGGATGTCAATGGCACTCTGCACTCTCACACGTCTCTTGGGCCCCAATAGTTATGCGTCTAACGTGATGGAGCAGGTCGTACTTGGTGACACGCGTCTCCATGAGCTCACCATCAGATAGAGATGCATATTTGTTTGGGTGCCCGGCACGTACGGCTTGCAAGAGGAGTGCCATGTCGTCCTTATTGTAGGCAAACACAGATGCCGATAGCGCTGACTTGAAAAGGGTATACTTGGGATGGTGGTCAGTCCGAAGGGCTGCGTCGAACCTGTGGATCCAGTGGAACACATCCAGGCGTATGAGCATGCCTCCATCTGCCCACCTGTTGAAGAGTTGCTCCACGGAAGACACGCCCAGGACATGACAGCAGCCACGGTCCACATACATCAAGTCAGGCGGTGCCTCTCCTGCCCCCTCATATCTTGACATAAGGCCTGCCATCGGCCTCATTTGATCTGTTTGTACATGTTTCATGTTTTGAACAGTAATGTATGAAATTTACTTTCTTGGTGGAGTCATATTTCAAGACCTTTCCAAACATGGACATGATCTGTGTCCGGTAGTCCTCAATGTTTTCAGCCTCCGCAATGAGGAAGGCTTTCCTCAGTAGCTTGGGTGAGGGCAGCTCTCGTCTTTGTGGGGGTCTCTGGAACTGGGGAGTCAAGATGCCTGAAAGTGGAGAGAAAATACAAAAATAAACAACAATGAGATCACATGTACTGTGGAGCATTTCTTTTTGCCACAGGAATGCATGCAACAGGCACCATAGCAGTATTTTTTTTTATTTATTTCCAGCAAGTATATAATGGAATCTGACTTCATATGATAAAGCCTTTGCTAATTCAGAGTTGATGCTGACAATTGCCAGACCACTCATGCGCTCTTGTGCCATAGATGAGCGCAAGTACGTTTTGATGAGCTTCATTTTAGAAAAACAGTTACAACAGTTGCAACAGTTATAGGGAGCGCCACTGCTATGCGCAGAGCAATCCAGAGATTTGGGTACAACTTGTATATTTTTGTTTATTTGTATATGTATATTATTAATATTAATTTATTATTATAATATATAAAAAAAAAATTTGAGCAGCTGGGATGGTGCCCCCCTGGAAGTTGGTGCCCTACGCAGACTGCGTACTCTGCATATAGGGAGCGGCGGTACTGGGGAAGACCATCCTCTTCTCCCGGTAGAGTCGAGCTTCCTGCATCGCCACCAGTACAGCCTGTTGGCAAATTTCAGGGGCGTCTTGGTTAACGACGCGAATTACGGGAGTCGCCATCTTCCGTTTAAAGTAATATAATATATACGACACTACTATATACTTTTGTGCAATGTAAGTTAAAAACGTGGACAATGCGGGTAGCGAAAACAGACTGTCGAAGAAGTGGTTCTGATGCTGCGTTTAGATGTTCATTTGATTCACTTCGATTCGCTCGCTCAGTTCATATTTGCATCCGTGTCGTCGGCGACCGTAGACTCTTAGCCAATCAGAACGCTTGACTGTCTACAGTCAGCAAGCGACCGTAGAATCTCGGCCAATCAGAGTGCTTAACTGTCTACAGTCTCCGTAGACTTTTACACTACCATAGACTCGACTTCGGAATTGATCCCAAACGTCATTGGAGGAAAATCCGTGTGCACCGACTGACAGAGGTGTACTATGGGAAAAGTTAAAAATAACGTAAGTCATATTTCGTTGGTGTTAACAGCTTTAGCCATCAGCATTTTTGGTATACAGTCGTCCCTCGTTTATCGCAGTTAATCCGTTCCAGACTCTACCGCGTTAAATGAATTTCCGCGAAGTAGGATTCTTTATTTCTTTATTATTGGGCTGCACCTGGCGTTGTATGGGAGGTATTTTCTGCAAAAATTAAAATGAAAATGATAAAAAGAAAATACAATCTCCACTTTGCCATTTACTTCCCAAAGTCACAAGAAGAAAGGAATCGGCAAACGCACTGAGAAGCGCAGCAGTGATCA